ATGGTACTAGATTGATGTGGGGATCTTGGATCCAATCTCCCACTCCGCTTGAGCCCTAGGCTTTGTCTCCTATACTCTTAAGTATAAAGCCTTTGTAAACCAAGTTCCTCCCTGCCAAGTGCCAGCACGTGCCCTCAAGGCAAACTGAGAGTTTGCTCACTTGTAGAATCAAGCATCCTTGTCATTTCAACCTGAGTGTTTCCCTTCGTTTCCTGCCAGCTCAACCTTGCTTTAAGCAAATATTTTAAATATATTATCCAGCATTTTTAGATGATCTGACCAGGAAGTTTTTCCATGCAAATACTCTGTCTTGTTCCCTAAATATCCTTAGGTAACTGTTTTAGTATTCATATGCTTTTTTTTTTAAGATTTTATTTATTTATTTGAGACAGAGAGAATGAGAGAGAGAGAGAGAGAGAGCACATGAGGGGGGGGAGGGTCAGAGGGAGAAGCAGACTCCCTGCCAAGCAGGGAGCCTGATGCAGGACTCAATCCAGGGACTCCAGGATCATGACCTGAGCCGAAGGCAGTCATCCAACCAACTGAGCCACCCAGGCGCCCCTAGTATTCATATTCTTTGAATTGATTTCACATAATGGTTTACTTACTGTGTATGCTCCATTAGTGAAAAATGTAACTGAAAAAGCCATTTAGAAATCAAATTGGTTAACAACTTTTTTAGTCACAAATGATTTCTTTTTGCCTGTCATATATATTTATTGCATAAGTTAAGAACCATTCCAAAAGCTAAGAATAATTTCCAAAACACTACCCTTTTTTTCCTGAACTCCAAATATAAATATTGACTCCAATATAATGTATATTTCCCTTCAACACCTTATCATAAAAATTTTCAAACATCTAGGAAAGTTGAAAGAATGTATTTACCACCTAGATTCTATCACCATTTTACAATATTGTTTTATCACATATCCATCCATCTCCCTTTCTATCAATTCATCTTATTTTTTGTTGCAGTGCAAAGGAAAATGCAGACATCAGTAAATTCTGCCTCAAATATTTCACAAACATAGTATTTTTATTTCTAAGCAATAAAGCTCTCTTTCCCAACATTGTGCTTACTATTTTATAAGAACTGAAAAGCATGACTCTGTGCCATAATCACCTAATACCATTTGAGTCAAAAAACAGTAGTCTTACAGTTAAGAGGGGAAATAAGTAGAAAAACTTAATTTTAATCCTTTATATTTCCATGTTAGTAAAATAAGCTTCATATGTAGCACATTTACTTGAAATGTTTGCCCTTTTATTTCATCAATATCTAGGAGTTCCTATTACAGTTTCTTTTTATTTATAATGAAAAGCTCTTACTTGTTAACACTTTCCTATTCAGTAGTTCTGGAGGACTATTCAATTTCCTGAGGACAGAGAAATGAACAACCAACTTCTGAACTTAGCTTAGACAGCTGAATTTACCTTCTGTGACATTGTGATTTATAATAAGAAATATATATTTGGTCTTTGTCCCATTCCTGGCACAGAGCCCCTAAAATCCTTAGAGTTTCCTAACTGAAAGGAAAATCTTTTGTTATTCATAACAAGTCCCTTTCAGCCCATCTGAGTTTATATTACAGAGAAGACTTTGTGACAGCCCCTAGGCTGGGGGCTGGTTGTCAGTGGAATCAAGCACACAATTAGAAGATTGGAAATTTCAGTCCCACCCCCAGACCTGGGGCTGGGGAGAGGGGTTGGAGATTGAATTATTACCAATGGCCAATTATTCAATCAATCATGCCTATTGTAATGAAGCCTGCATAAATATCCAAAAGGACTGGGTTGAAAGAGCTTCCAAACTTGGTGAACATGTGGAGGTGCTGGGAGGGTGGCATTCCTGGAAAGGGAAAGAGGCTTCACATCCTCCCCCATATAACTTGCCCTATGCATCTCTTCATCTGGCTGTTCACTTGTATCCTTTAAAACATCCTTTAAAATACCAGCAATAGTAAGTAAACTGCTCTCCTGGGTTATGTGAAACTGAGGAAGGAAGGGGTAGCAGGAAACTCCAATTTGTAGCCAAGTTGGACAGAAGTTGTGGGTAACCCAGGGACTTACTACTTGCAAATGGCAGCTGAAGTAGGGACACTGGGACTGTGGGACTGATCCTTTTATATGTGGGGTCTGTGCTAACTCTGGCTAGTGTCAGAACTGAATTGAATTGTAGGACATCTAGCAGGTGTCAGAAAATCACTTTGTGTGGGGAAAAAAACTCCCGCCTATCTGGTTTCAGAAGTGTGAATGAGAGTAAAGGAAAACACACTGAATTTTTTTTACACACCTTCTATAGATAGGTGTCTTCCAGCTTAATGATTTTATGAATTAGACTGCATCATCCATTTAAAATTTTACTACAGTAAACATTTTATTTAGCTATCATATCAGTATTGTACCTCTGCTTTCTATCTTCAATGTTAAGAGCAATGATTTACATTTATAGGAAGCATTTCTTTATGAAAATTTATCACTTTGAACACATACAAAAAGGTGTCAAGAAAGGACATGAGAAATAAGTTTTAAAGTTTAGATTCATTTGGATTTGGAGGAAGGCTGTCAAGATAACTTAAGAAAAGACAAAAAGACCTATGGTCTTCCTCTAATGTCAAGATAAAAACAAAATTATATGCAAAAAAATTTTAATAACCCACATAGATAATTGTCAATTATCACAAACTCATACTATGACCTCACACTTTATATGCTGTATGAAATTAAAATCAGTGTAATATTTTATTCCTTATCAAAAGAGGCTAATCTGGACTCAGGCAACCTCAGTCCTCAGCTTTACCAATTAGTGACCTTAGGTACACCCCTACTCTGCATGGTGCTCTTTTCTTCATCTTTAATTTAAAATTCTTTATGATAGTCTTTACTGTTTAGGACTTATTCCATTATCTAATAACTTTTTTAGAGTATTATACTAGCTAGACAAGGTGCAGGTTGTAATGTAATTCTAGCACTCTGTGAATACAAAAAAGTATTTGGCATGTTCCTTTTCCCCTAAGTAGGAGAACTTCCTGGCAGCAGATTAAACAAAAAAATAATTCCAATTTAAGCTATTTCATTTAATTTCTTCTAAACTTACTCTTCTTTTTTCATAATGTTATACATGGCCTACTGTCAAAAGAACTAACAAACACTCATTATAACTGAAATAATTGCAAAGCATGCAAAAAAGAAAACGTGAAAAACGCAGTATACCCCAAGGAAAAACATTCAATTCCAGGTATAACCACACAGAAAAGCTAAAGTCTAATAATAATGACAACAACAACAATAATAGTCACCTCATCAAAAAACATTCCAAAAAATAATTAGAATACTGCATTTGAGGAAAAAATTAATAAACAAAAAATTGCACATTAGTAGAATGTGTGAACATCAGCAGGATATGAGCATCCTAGGGCCCAGCATTTTGAAATGCAAGGCTCATGAACAACTAAATCACTGCATAAAGTCAGAGAAGCCAGACAGCGGGGCCACCAAGAATATGCCTCCAAAACATCTGTTTCATTCAAATTAATCTTTTTGGGCTCTTCAGGCAGGAGGTGAATTCATTAGTTTTCCCCAGAAACAAGGAAAACAAAATATAGTCAGAGCAAAGAACAAAGCCCTATGTCCAAATAAATGTGACACCAGCCCCAATATTTTTGGCGTATGTTCACACGTAGAAAAATGCCTCATTCAGGATGAAGAGTTTCTTGAAATATGCTAAAGTCATTCAGATAAAAAGGCAAGATTCAATCATAGATTGTAATTCAAGCAATATATTAACATTTTTTAGTTTCTAAAAAGACTGTTTTCCAAAGGTTTCCCTGTTGGGTAAAGATTAAAGTGCCACTTAATAGTTTATTTATTTGTCAAATGATAATACCCTCTTACAGAGTTGTTCTGAGAAAAAAAGGAGAGACTACACATGAAATTGCCTGAAAGAGTTAAAAAGAACTATATCAGGTTATAAATGAAATCAAAACTCTACATTCAACTCGACCTAATACTTCCTTTTGGTACATGAAGTTGGTAATTCTATTACTTCTTGTTATAAAACACATCATATATAAAAGTATACAACATGTATATTCAATTAAAAGAATAATAATTTTAATGGACCCTGGTATAATTCCCTCTCATCTTAAAAAATGGAACATTACTAATACCTTGGAAGCTCCCATGTGCCTATTCCTATCATATTTCTCTTAACCCACCCTACACTATCCTAAATTTTGTGCTAATCACTTCCTTGCTTTTATTTATAGCCTTGACACATTTATATGTATCCCTAAACTATCTAGCCATCATCTATCTAATTCCATCCATTCACCTTCCTTCCTTCCATCCATCCATCCATTTTTTGAACTTTATGTATATGGAATATGCTATATGTACTTGCCCTTCAACTTCTATAGTCTTTTACTCAGAGTGATTTCTTGACATTATTATCCAATTTTTCATACAATCCCTAAGATTAAAGAAATGTATTATACCCATTTAAAGCAGAGAAAATGAGGCACAGTGCAACTAGGAACTTGCCACATTGTATGAAAGGACAATGGACAAATCTTTCTACAGTAATTCTGAAAGTAAAGCAAACCAATGACTGTCTCAGAGCTTTATAGCACATTCATATTTTTAGCTTCAATTAAAACTAAAACATTTCTCTAGTGCTAAGAGCACAATTAATACTTTAAAACTGAGTTTACCCCCCAAAAATTGACTTTACATAGTACTGTTTGCTTTCATATTAAAGGGGAAGTTATAGTCAAATGTACTGATGATGTAAAAGCCCTAAACAATATTCAAATATATTCCTTAAAAGGAAAACAAAAACAAATTAAATAAAGAATATCAAGAGAAGATTTGTTTTTCTTTTCCTTAGGAAATGGACTATTAGAAAACAGCCATATTATGAAATATTCTAATTAAAGAAAATGACTCATTAAATAGGTAATTAGTCTGACACTCATCAATTCCAAGATATTGTTCACCTGAGCAAGTGATGGAAGAATCTTCTTGCATATTTGCTGATTTCGTCTCTATATTCCAATATAGTTGTATCCAGGAGTGGTCTTGTTGGAGCATAAAAGGTTCCAAGGCTTGCCTCAAGCTGTGCTGTGGAATTCAAACATAGCAGCACTAAAACAAGTGAAACTCCTTCAATTACAACAGAATACTCATGTTTGCAGTCAGTCAGGTTTTGCAAACTTGGATGAAGTGTGAGCTTGTTGCAGGAAAGATGAAATTAAAATATGACAGCTGGTACAAAAACAAACCTGTGTATAAACTTTCACTTGAGGCAAAGCTGACAATGACTCTGAGCAACAAAAAGCTGTCAAAACTGAAGAAATCCATAATGAACCAACCTCTCACCACAAATGGATAATTAAAACAGTGACTCATCAAAGTAACACAGTTTGAACTAGTATTTCCAGTAAAATCAACTCACAGTGTGCTCAACATTTACCCTTTAACTGAAAGGAGAAAACAAACTTTTACATTGGGAATTGAAATAAGTATTAGAAGTGTTTTCGAAATAATACAAATGAAAATAGCCCTGTTGGAGTAATAATACCTTTCTAAGACAATTTTAAAGAAACAGTGAAAGTCGCCATGCCTTCCCTAAATCTCATCCTAAAAAACAAGATTGTTGGTTTTGTCCAAGTGTGAAAGCTAATACCCCTGGGAGGGATGACATGCTAATCCCCTCTTGGTCAACTGACACCTTCCTAGGAAAAAAGGATTGGAGAGCAAGTTTTGATAAACCAGAGGGCTAGAGATTGGGAAAAAAAGGCACATTTTGCCTGCTTCATGATTTTACCATGCCATGCCTTTGGGGTTGTGTTTTCTCCCAGAAATACCTAGAAGTTATATAATTACAGTAATGGTGAGAGTTGTATGAGAACACTACAGTTCACAGTAAGACTCCATTGATTTTTATGCTACCAGCGCTGGATTGAATAAACAATTCCTTATTTAGCAAAACTCTTTAGTTTTAGGCATATTTAGGTTTGAAAGTATTAAATACCTCATCAGAGTAATTGCTATGGACTTGGCTAAGTTGTTAGTAATTTCTTTTTTTCTAATCTCAAATCTAGAGAGTAAAGTAAGATGAACTTTAGGGGTATTTTCTTTCAAAGCAGCAGTCAATTTAGATTAAAATTGAATACAGCAACGCTATTGTGAAAACAAGCCAGATCCTCTTGCCATTGCTTGTTTTCTAGACAGCATGTACTTCTGAAATGTTTGAGCCTACATGAAATACTCATAACTCCCAGCACAGTTACAGATTCATTAGATAGCCCAGCTTGATGTTTAAGGCAGAAATGAAGATCTCAAAGATAACCACAACACAGCCACAAATAAAAGAGCTCACTGAGTTCCACTAATAAAAGGAAAACAAATTACCACATCAAATTTGTTAGATTCGGATAGAATAAATCCCAAAAGAGAAGAATTCTGAACGTTTTACAAATGTATTTTATAGTTACTTGGGGAATAACACATATACCTACTTAAAATGTACATATTCTGATAACCCAGTATCATGCAAGTGTTTTAATACAGTGGTATCATACAAGCTTTTTATTTCCCTATCTTCCCAAAATGGTTCCTTGAAAATATCTTTTATTAAAGCAAGAATCTGCTAATGCCCACTTGTGAATTCCCTAATAATCTTTCTTACAAACAAATTCACCAAGGTGCTAGCAATTTGTCAGTGTCCTGAGTGACAGTCAATATTTATCCTCTCTATGATTCTCCAACTGTAAATTAGGATCTCTTGTATAGATTGTGTATACCATAACAGGCTTTCTTTATGGACTCTGCCTTTTTTTTTCCTACTATGTACCTAAGCTTGAGAGTGTACCAATATAAGAAATAAGTACTTGAGATAACTCTGTAGGCAGACATATTACAGTAATACTAACATTGTGGAGTTATACTCTTCTTATTTTTAACTAATATTCTTTGAGTACCTACAGTAGGCCAAGCACTGTCTATGCTAGGCATTTTCTCACTGTAGAAATACTGGACCCTCCATAGATGGATTGGACTACCTCCGAAAAGCACATTCAATTAACATTAAATAAATATTTATTGCGGGCCTCCTGTGAGTTGGTACAAGTCCCATGATGTGAACTTCCTGAGGGAACATGCCCTCTGAAATGACTACAACGAAGGTTATGTATAGAATTTTATCTAAACACTGTGTTTACTTTGGAAATGTAATAAAATGGAATAAGAAAATCTATAAACTTTCGAAGAAAATAGGAGGAAAAAAAAGCTCTTCAGCAAAGACCTTTTGACATATCTCCTGTTTTCTCTATCTTGTAAATTACCTAGGGACAGTTTCTCATTGGCTAGGACTTATCATTAACGTCAATGATTCTTGCAAAGATTTGAAATAAAGATACAAGTGCAAGAACATTTAGGTGCATTTTACATTAAGTAAATAACTTATAAGAAAAATAACATATACTGGATAATTAACAAATCTAAAAATGAATTTCATTATTGTATGTGGCACATTATTCCCCCCCCCCTTTTTAAAACAGTATCCTGAGGGGTGCCTGGCTGGCTCCAGTTGGTAGAGCATGCAACTCTTGATCACAGGGTCATGAGTTCAAGTCCCATGTTGGGTGTAGAGCTTACTTAAAAAAGAGAGAGAGAGACAAAACAGTGTCTTATCTGAGATCCTGTGGACAGAACTACTTGCTGAGGGAAAGTGGAGAAATCGAGCCGGCAGAGGGCTATCAGAACCACTGGTGAGAATGACATCAAAGAGCAGCTGGCTGAGGTACCATCAGAACCACCGGTGAGAATGACAACAAAGAGCAGCTGGCTGAGGTACCATTCTCGATCTCTCTCGCTCTCTCATACACATACACAGACACAGACGCAGACACAGACACACAAAATCAGTGGTTAGGACTATTCTCTGGACAAAAGACTTGGGGTGGGAGAGGAAAATATTTATGTCTAAAGTGAAGGAAGAATAAGGACTTTTGTTTGGGGCCCTTTGTATACCAGACCCTAGAGAATACATGTAATTCTTTTTTTTTTTTTAAGATTTATTTATTTATGTATTTGAGAGAGAGTGTGTGTGCATGTGCAGGGGGAGGAGTAGAGGGGGAGACAGAGGGACAAGCAGACTCCGCGCTCAGCGTGGAGCCCAACGCCAGGCTCCATCTCACCACCCTGAGATCATGACCTGAGCTGAGATCAAGAGTCAGACAGTTAATCAACTGAGCCACCCAGACACCCCAAGAGTCCATGAAATTCTTGATTAAAGTTTGAAATTTGAGCATATTCCACACATGAACTCAGACTGAAATGTACAATGACTGCATTGTGAGTTCCAACATAGATACATACAAAAATTTTACTCTTTATATTCACAAATACTAAAAAGTACCGTATAATTATCTCATATCTGATCTTGTCAGTTTTAATAGGGCACTAACATTTTAGTCTTTCAATCTCCAATAACATAACTCAAAAACTACTCAAAAGATAATTGACTCAATAAAATGTACTTCATATATATACAAAATCCATTTATGAACTATATTTCATGCTGACCTTCTCTCTCTGGAGTGAGTTTTTGTCTAAGAAGATGGTTTACAATGGCACTCATGCTGATAAAGCATTGGTGACCCAGAGTGTCCCAGTTCATACTGCTCAGGATGTTTATTGCCTCATAGATCTCATCACAGTGAATGTACTGGAAAATGATGTCTGTCAGGCCCAGCTGTCCTCGTGTGAAGATACCTGTCACAAAAAAAGTAAAACCAAGTGATTGTTTTAAAAATAAAAAATAGACTAACAAAAACAGAGTTAATACCTCCATAAAGGAAAAAAACAGTAATCATTTCTTGCATAAGTGCTAAAAATGTGGGATTGGCAAGGCCAGTAGTGATTCTGTGGTTAAATCTTCATTGTGAATACCAGCTACCAACCAACTCCATCTATCTCATGCCTATCATTCAGCATTAATTAATTTATACTCCACATAATCAAACTGCTTACACTAAAAATGCATAAACATGAGAAGAATGTTTAGGTAGACCACAATAGCTAACTCTATTTTTCTCATCAGTTGTTGGGCCTCTGTTTTATAGATTTAAAGACAGGTTTTTGATATGAACACAATTCTTGTTGACCAGCTTCATCAGTTCTAAGTTGTTTTTAGTTGTCAGCCCCACGTACTTTGGTATGGGTGTGAGTAAATACAAATATCCATGACAAATATGACTATATAAATAATTTTAAGTCTGTTTTATTAGTGGGTACTCTCAATTGACAATTATTTCATAGATACTACATACCAATTTATCTTATATTGGCATTTAAAGACTATTCTTTTTGTTTTGTTTTGTTTTTAAAGATTTTATTTATTTATTTGACAGAGAGAGAGAGACAGCGAGAGAGGGAACAAAAGCAGGGAGAGAGGGAGAGAGGGAAGCAGGCTTCCCACGGAGCAGGGAGCCCGATGCGGGGCTCGATCCCAGGACCCTGGGATCATGACCTGAGCCGAAGGCAGACGCTTAACGACTGAGCCACCGAGGCGCCCCAAGACTATTCTTTTCTATTGAAGTAAGAAGTGATCAGTATTAATCCTGCTAGTGATGCCCTTCACAACTAATATTTACTTTGAAATATTCTTGGTATAATATAAACACATTTGTTTATCCTTCTTAAAATGAAAGAAAATCTATTTTTTTAAAGATTTTATTTATCAGAGACAGAGACAAGAGCACAAGCAGGGGGAAAGACAGAGGGAGAGGGAGAAGCAGGTTCCCTGCTGAGCAGGGAGCTCAACGTGGGGCTTGATCCCAGGACCCTGGGAACATGACCTGAGCTGAAGGCAGTCGCTTAACCAACTGAGCCACCCAGGTGCCCCAAGAAAATCTACTTCTAATCTTAGAGAAACAAGACTACAAAAAAAAGTGGGTCATTTTGTTCTAATTTTATTTTATCATTTTTTATATATGCTTGATCTCATTTGAAACTAAGAATTTCTGTGTAATTGAATGACAGTAAGTATTAGGGCTTTTGAGCAGTTATTTTTTTCCCAATCTTTCAAAAATGGCTGGCTATAAAATCTTTTTTCTTCAGCCAATATTTATTGATTAAAGTGAGTCTTTAAAAACTTCTCAATACAAATAATCATAAAGCTAAAAGAGAAAATGTATGTGAAATGATTTGTAAGCTGTAAAGTATATAAAATATTACTGCAATTCTTTTTATTACTATCATCATCATCATTTAACTGGAATAGTTATAGGTTTTAGGATTTTAAAAAGTATTAGTTCATAACAAAGATGCCAAAATTCTTCATATTAACTTCAAGTCACATCAAAATGAGAATTTGTGCTGTATCTGACAGAATTCAACTTGAAAGGGAATCTGGGGAATTGCCCTGACTATACTAAGCAATAAAACCTCACTATTCTTTTTGTGTTGGTACTATCCAAAAGCCTTCATGAGCCTGCAGTCAAGCACTGGAAGGCCTCATAAATCAGGGTGGTTCCTTGGCAGTAGATACTAATGTGTAGGAACTTTACAAGAAACCAAAAATATCTGAAATCTGTTGACTCCATCTATACCCTAAGCAATACTTCTAGCAAGAGAAGGAACAATCAAATTGTTCTTTATTTGTATTTATTTTATATATAGTTATAATATATTTTATTTATATTTATTTATAATATATTTTATTTATATTTATTTATTTACATTTATAATAAATATTTGTATTTATAAATAATTGTTCCAAAGAAAAGGACACACATACAAAGATACGAAAAATTGCAAAGTTTGCTTCTGAAATCATGCAAGCCAAAAGATGACAGCAAGACTTAAAAATGCTGAAATAAAAATAAATTAAACTAAAATTCCATACCTTTATAATAGTTGAAAAGTCATGAAAAATCATAACAATCTTAAATGTACCTAGTAACAGAGTTCTGAAATAATAAAGCAAAGAGATAGAACTAAAAGAAGAAAAAGTCAAAACCACAATTATAATTGGAGATTTCAGCATTACTCTCTCACTAATTGAGAGAACAGGTAAACAAAATCAGCAAAAATAGAAAATACTTCAAAAACACTATCAATGAATCTGACCTGACATTTATAAAATATTTCACCCAACAACAGCAAAATACACATTCTTTTTACATGTACATAGACTATCAGCCAAGATGGGACATATTGAGGGTGATAAAACAAGCCTCAATAAATTTACTTGCTTTGAAAACATACAGAGTAGGTTCTCTGACCACAACAGAATTAAATTAGGTATCAATACAGAAAGATGTCTGGAAAATCTCCCAACATTTAGAAATTAATCAACATTCTTTTAAAAAAAATTATGAGTTAGGGGTGCCTGGGTGGCTCAGTCGGTTAAGAATCTGACTTTGGCTCAGGTTTCAGGTCATGATTTCAGGGTCCGGCAATGGAGCCCCACATTGGGCTCCCTGCTCAGCAGGAAGTCTGCTTGTCCCTTTCCCTCCCCCTCTGTCCCTCACCCTACTTGTGTTCTGTCTCTCTCTCGGATAAATAAAATTGTAAACAAACAAGTAAACAAAGTATGATTTAGAGAAGAAATCACAGGGGCACCTGGCTGGCTTAGTCAGTAGAGCATACAACTCTTGATCTCAGGGTTGTGAGTTCCAGTCCCATGTTGGGGGTAGAGATTACTAAAAAGATAAATAAAAATAGAGAAGAAATCATAGAGTAAATTTAAAAATATTTTGAAATGAATAAAAATAAAAATATAACGTTGAAATTTGTCAGATGTACCTATAGCAGTACTTAGAGGGAAATTTCTAGCATTAAATGTTTTAATTAGAAAAGAAGAAAGATCTAAAATCAATCCAAGCTTCCATGTTAAGAACCTACGGAAAGAAGAGCAAATTACACCTAAAGTAAATAGAAGGATGGAAATGATAAAAATAAGAAATAGAAAATAAAGAATAGCCAATGAAATCAACAGCTGGTTCTTTGAAATGATCGGTTAAACTGACCAATATCTGCCTAAACTGATAAAAAGGAGAGCAGACATGACTTACCACAATCAAGAATAAAAACTATAGAACTACAGACATTAAAAAAAATAGTGATTAATATGAATAACTTTATACAAATAAATATAATTTAAATGAAATGGATTCTTTGAAAGATCAAAACTCTCAAAGCTCTTTCAAGAAGGAATAAATAATTTGACTCTGTGTTACTTAAATTTGAATTCATAGTTAAAGAACCTTTATACACATATACACGCATACACACACACACACACACACACGCGCACACACACACACACACACACACACACACACAACCTGCATGCCCAGATGCCTGCATTGGTGAATTCTCTCAAACATCAAAAGAAGAAATAATATCAACTCTCCACAACTCAAAATATAAGAGGGAGCACTTGTCAACTCATTTCATGATGTTAGCATTACACTGATATCAAAAATGACAGCAAAATTACATGAAAAGGAAAAGAAAACTACAGACCAATATCTCCCATAAACACATACAAAAATCCTTAACAAAATATTAGCAAGTCCAGCAATATATTAAAAAGATTATATATCATGAACAAGAGAGATTTATCCCACAAATGCAAGGCCACTGAAACAGCTGGAAACTCATCAATATAATTCACCACATAACGAGAAAAAACATATAATCATTTCAACTGATGCAAAAAAAGCATCTGAAAAAATTCCATATGCACTCAAGATAATGGATCTCAGGCAACTAAGAATGGAAGGGGACTTCCTCAACCTAATAACATAAAACTTACAGTGAAAAAACTAAATGCTTCCTACCTAAGATCAGACACAAAACTGAGAGCTTTCCCCCTAAGGTCAGGAACACGGCAGGGATGTCCACTATCACCACTGCTATTCGACATATTATTAGAAGTCCTAGCCACAGCAATCAGACAACAAAAAGAAATCAAAGGCATCCAGATTGGCAAAGAAGAAGTCAAACTCTCACTCTTTGCAGATGATATAACATACTTTATGTGGAAAACCCAAAAGACTCCACTCCAAAACTGCTAGAACTCATACAGGAATTCAGAAAATTGGCAGGATATAATATCAATGCACAGAAATCAGCGGCATTCCTATACACCAATAAGACAGAAGACAGAGAAATTAAGGAGTCGATCCCATTTACAATTGCACCCCAAACCATAAGATACCCAGGAATAAATCTAACCAAAGAGGCAAAGGATCTGTACTCAGAAAACTATAAAATACTCATGAAAGAAATTGAGGAAGACACAAAGAAATGGAAACACGTTCCATGCTCATGGATTGGAAGAACAAATATTGTGAAGATGTCAGTGCTACCTTGAGCAATCTACACATTTAATGCAATCCCTATCAAAATACCATTAACTTTTTTCAAAGAAATGGAACAAATAATCCTAAAATTTGTATGGAACCAGAAAAGACCCCAAATAGCCAGAGGAATGTTGAAAAAGAAAAGCAAAGCTGGCGGCATCACAATTCCAGACTTCAAGCTCTATTACAAAGCTGTAATCATCAAGACAGTATGGTATTGGCACAAAAACAGACATATAGATCAATGGAACAGAATTGAGAGCCCAGAAATGAACCCTCAACTCTATGGTCAACTCATCTTTGACAAAGCAGGAAAGAATGTCCAATGGAAAAAAGACAGTCTCTTCAACAAATGGTGCTGGGAAAATTGGACAGCCACATGCAGAAGAATGAAACTGG